TCTGATGTCAGAACTTGTCGGATGCAATCTTTTCTTTCTTAGAAATAAATCAACAGGTAATATAGTTTGAGTTGCTTAAGTTATCAAGTAAATGAATAAGTTTGAAGGTGTGCTTAAAAGAGCCTTTTATTGTCTTGAAGATGAAGATTCTGCACAAACTAATTGTTCCTTTTTGGTGTAATTGGCATTAATGGAAGGATACAATGATGAAATTGCTATTGGAAAGAAGCAAAAGCTCATTTCACTTTGTTTCTTCTCAGACCCACAGCCACAGCAATTGAAGTTGTTGTTCCAAAGTGACACTGTGACAGTGAATAAAGCTTAAAATGTGATGGTTGTAAAACTGGAGCGGGCCTGTGCTCGATCTGCTGTGAGGCCCAATAGAACCACCATGAGGCCCAATTTAACCAGGCCCGACTTGACATGATAATTACCCGCTGACCACCTCCAGCTTGAAGTAACTGTGTAAGATAAGTTCAAACCTCCATAAGGTTCTACCAAAAAAGATACATTAATTGGATGTTCACCAAGGTTGTCAACCCGCGGGTTGACCCGGACCCGGTCCAGCTAGTGGGTCAAGGGTTAATGGGTCGACCGTTTAAGTCCGGTTTGGCTCGGAAATATGAAAAGAGTCATTATATTGTACTTATCCTCATAAATTATATCAAATTTTATCTAACATATGAGTTATAACATATAATGTTACACCAAAATAACATATCGTACTTAGATCCAACAGATAGTGAAAATTCACACACACTTATATAATATAAAAATTCAAATGTTCAACTTAGGATTTCAAAAATTGAGTTAGGCGAAAAGAAAAATCGGAAAATAGGCGCATTTCGCAAATCAAAGAAAAAAAATGACACAATTTGACCTCCAACCCGGTACCTTGTAGCGGTCGACCCGGCGGGTGCGTGCGTCAGGGTCAAATTGGGTCGACCCGCGGGTCAACCCGTGGGTTGACAACCTTGATGTTCACATATGTTGTAGATAAGCATTGAATAACCGGATGCTACTTGGCTCTGCGAACGCACTTCTAGTAAGTGCTAACGATCTTTAACTCTCGATTATGGTGTTTTCTGTCAATGCAAGGAATTGAAGTTTTGTTCTTACCCTAGTTGGATATCATCATCTCCTGTGAGCTCTAGTTTTGAGTTAGTACACTAGCTATGATTGTCTACACGCCCTCACGATTATTATGGTGTTGTCATCTGATAGCAGAACTCGTCTGATGTATTGTTTTCTCTCTTTAGAAACAAAAGCGGCGCCTAATAAAAGTATGAGTTGCTTATCTTGTCAATGATTGTGTAGAGATAAGTTTGAACCATATATAGATATATACTTAAAAGAGTTCGATAATTCAATGTCGATTGTAGATAAAGATTTAATGATCGAGTTCTCTTTTGAATTTGTTCAATGACCATAAGACAAGAACTAGTATGCTCTCTTCCTGTAACACCCATACATATTTTTAAAACATTAACATGATCGTACCGATTAAAAACTTTTACAACTCGGTTTAGCTTATAAACCAAACCATAATTTACATAAACATTTAAAACTTCTAAACACATGACAGTAGAGAAGACCATCTTCTCTTAAAATACTATGAACAAGTCATGTCGGAGTCTGAGTCCACCATCCCACCTCATTGATGCCGAGCTGAGCCTTGATGAGTTTCCTTGACTTCTAGTCCGAAACTTCTAATCTGGGGAAAATTTATGACGGGGGTGAGACGTCACCTCAATGAGTAAAAACTAACCTAGTAGCGTAATTAACATAAACAAGGAATTGAGCAATCACGATTAACGTTATATCCTTCTTTCTCTCGTTATACTAGTACCTCTATAAACATTCGCCACTCGCACATAGAAACATTTAGAACCAGCACAAATTCATTAATAGGATCATACCCATTTAAATATTATCGTCACCACACACACATAAAACGATTCACAACAAGCATATGTACATACAAGCATCCATCACCTATTCCGGCCTAGTCATGCACCATCATCTTCTTTCCCACCTCCTCCTCCTCCTCCACCTCCTCCTCGATGCTTAGGCTCCACCACCTCCGCCGACCTAAAGCATCGGTGACTTCCTCCCATAGCCCGGGCAATCGGCACATAGCCGAATATATATGCACAACGTCCTTACTGAGGACGTATCACATCATCTTATTCTCCGGGTGCATTACTAACCGTTAACACACACATACAAAGAAACACACATTCATATCATCTCATATCAAATCCATAACAATCATCCACATCATATGCATCACTATTATCAATAACAACATCATTGACTTCATCATCATTATCATCATCACGGAGGCCTTTCATGCCTCGTTATACTCATCTCAACAACATTCTTATCATTCTCCACATTGAAATCACACCACATCATCATCATATCACATAATCATTAACACATACTTAAACACACATGCAACTGCACTTTACAATAATTAAATTCACTACCTCGGGTTTGGGCCGCTTCATGACCCAAATACCATGCTCGTATTAATTAAGATACTAGGTTAGAATTTACTCACAGTATGATCGCTATTCAGCTATACCCTTGCCTCGTGATGATTCCCCGACTTGCTCCTTTCCTTATTAATTCATATAAAAATGTTTAATATTTGAGTATTTAATCGGCGAACAGCTAATAAAAATACATAACTCATAAGCATAGAGACAATACACTTGCTCATTACACACCTCTTCTTTCTTAATGAAGTACAGATGACTATTATATCCTCAAATCATAATAATCATTTTTAATTCATCTCCATAAATCAACCTTACATACCAACGTGTTTAATTATACACATAAACACTTCCATGCATATGACCCTACCTACTCCTAATTCTTTAAGCATAAACAAATCCCCTTTCATTATAATTCATGGCCACAATTATACATATATGCATCTATCGTGCACCATTCCACCCATAATAATTGAGTGTTTTCTTCTCTTAGTTAGACCCACGGCTCTTAGAGCCCTTTTTGCCATACTCACAATCCTAGGAAGAAACATATATATACACATATGCATGCATTTATGTTTAGGTACATATACTTGTTAAAAGATCAATATCCACCCAAAGTTTCACAGTAACCCCACCCCTGTCTTACCTATCCCCTACGACTTTAGCTAACAAGTTAACCCATGCATATACTCGTGCAGTCTAAATAAAAAGCATGCAAACTTAAGCTGGTTCTACGCATGCTTCAGAGATTTCAGAATAGAGTAGTTAAATCCTCTCAACATTATAATCTCTTAGCACCTATGTCACTCTTTCACTGTAAACCTTACAAATTTAACTAGAAAAGGAGATCGCCGCACCTTATACGATCACAATCCCTGTGTTAAACCCCTCCCCTTGCTGTACTCTCTAAAAGCTATAAAATGGTGATGAGAATGGCGGAAGAGACTTTGCTAAGGGGGGCTTTCAGATTATGGAAATGGTATCTCTTTTTCCCTATTTGAGCCTCCAGAAGAGGTGAGAATGGAATCACCACTCTTTCCCAATAAATGATTCTTCTCTGGCTCATCTAGTTTCCGCCACCTAGAGCCCACGTGCCACGTGATTGTAAACAATGATTTCTAGTTGAGAGGTGGTGGATGTTTGTGTGCAGAGAAGTGCATGGATGGGAAAATCGAAATGGGACAAGGCCATTAATTTTCCTGGCCGATTCTCTTCTCTAGAAAATCTAGTACCCCTTAGTCAAAGTGAGTTTAAATTTGAGCTACCCCTACTTACAAGAACATGCAACAGGTTTTGACGGGGACTTTCATATTAGCTATAGAGATCGAATTCTTGAAGTTAAATGAAACACGTATATGATTTAGTGCTCTTCTAATTTCTTTTAAGACCTACTCTTTTATACTTTCAATTTGGTTCCCTTCTCGAGCATAACATGCACGTAACACAAGCTTATATGCCAATTTAAGAGTTTCTCTAAGTCATTTCCTATGGTCTTACAAATGAATTTATACACATACATATCGTCACACTTAACATGTCTAGATGAGTTATCTTCTCAACCCAACCACAAAGTAAAACCCTCCGTACTCACTAAGTGAGTACATTTTATTTACTTCAAATTTTGAACCGATAAACGAGGAATTGAGTTTGCCATGCCATTATTTATGAAAAGATAATAACTTTAGCACCGAAAGAACGAGGGTGTTACACTTCCACCCTCAAACCTATGTTTCTCAACTGATAGAGATGGAGAAGTTCATCAAATATGGCCCTAAGCCCCTAGCACAGAGTAATTCAAACCAGTACACAACTGCGGTAGTAGAGTATTGGAATTTGGAACAGACACTGTTAGTAGTAGGACCTCGCCATGACCAAGAATACAGTACAAAACTCCATTTGGTCTGTTGGGCTCGTTTTTTGTTTGGTTTGGGGCCTGTCGGTGGAAACTTTGGTTGGGTTCTTTTTTTTTTTTTATGAGCTTTTAGTTTCTCTGTTAGGATTTGTAGCTTGGGGGTTTTTGTTTTAGGCGGGCTCGTTTCTGACATTTGTTTGGGGCCTGTTGGTAGTCTTTAAGGTGGGCCGTTTGTGAGCTAAATTGTAAGTTTGGCCACTTAAATTACTAGTAAAATTCACGTTAGCCATTAGAATTACTTTATTCCATTCATAGTTATTTAAATTAATTCAACGTTTCAAGTTTGGTCACTCTCCGTTAGTCTCCGTTAACTTTGACTGATGTGGCGGTCAACTCTCACTGTTAACCGTTAAGTGAGTGACGTGTCAATTAAAAAATAAAAAATATAATTATTTTTATTTTCCACCCACCTAACTATTATAAAATTAAATAAAATATATTTGTTTTTTTATTTTCATTCTTTTCTTTGCAAACCCAAAAGATTATCATAAGCAAGGACCAAGATCTGGCCTCCTCCACGAGCAAAAAAGACCATTAATTTCAATCCAAAAAAGATAGAGTCGTATGATTGGGCGGGTTACTTAGTTAATTATCGGGACGTGGGAGTCTCTAGCGCTACGCTTGGCGTCGGCGGCAGAGAAGACGGTGTAGACAAGGACGAAGGTGCCGACGATTTCAGCACCGAGGCCATCTCCCTTGGTGTACCCACCGGCGACGGAGTTAGCATCGCCGCCAAGAAGCTGAAACGGCTGCTTCCCTTTGAACCCCTTCACCACTCCGGCGCCGCAGATCACTTTAGAGGCACTGCATCATCATGTAGAACATCGCCCTGGCCAGCGACAACTTCCTCGCCAGAAAAAGCCCGAACGTCACCGTCGGGGTAATGTGGCCACCTGTTGTCTCACATTAAAACAAAAAAAATTGGGGTTAATTACATGGTTGGTCACTGAGATTACAAAAAACGTTTATGTTTGGTCACTAGAAATATTTAAATCCAATCTTGGTCACTCAAATTAGTTAAATGGTTCAAGTTTGGTCACTTTCCGTCCAACTCTGTTAACTCTTGCTTATATGGCAGTCAACTTTTATAGTTGAATAGTTGACCGTTAAATGTGTAATGTGGCAATTAAAAAATAATAAAATAAAATAAATTTAATTATATATTTTCCACCTCAGAAAGAAAGCAACAAACCACTCAATCGTCACCTAAAAATAATAAAGAATTTCATTTTAGACCACCTGCCACGTACTCAATTATGAAATTTCCTTGCTCCAGGTCAGACACCCTTTTCCTCTTCCCCATCCCTGCATTTCTGTTCTGTTTCCTCTACTATACTTCCATTAGCCAGAAGCCCAGAACTCTAAACTCCACAATCGTCGTGTTCCTGTGTTCTACTTCTACCTTTCTACTCAAACGTCGCCACTGTTCCTTTCTTCTGCGGGATTGGAAAGACCAACGAATGAATTAGTTACCTTTACTGCCATAGTTAAACATGGAACCTCGCAGTAAAAAAAATTAGAATAATCAGTAACTAATCAAAGTCCTTCCTCTTTTTTACCTTTTGGAGACGAAAGGCACGACGCCAAACACAAGCCCGGCGGCAACCTGAACCGCCACGGAAAAAGCGCACATAACCGCCATCGATCTCCACAGTGTCGCCGCCCTCCCCAGTGCAAAGCGAATCCCCGCGGTCGCCGTCAGCACGGCCCACAAGGCCCAAACCCTCCCTCTCTCATCAAACCTCTTACCCATAGCATCCGACGTCACTCCGCAGATCGGCCGAGCGAAAAAATTCTTCAATTAACTGCCGCTGCGATCGTACCCGCCGCCGCGAAGATCCCAACGACCCAACCTGCCAGGCTGCCACCATGTAGAAGTGGTCGGCGCCGAATGACGAGACGAAGGGTTTAATTCCACCGGTCCCGAGCGCGATTATTGAGAGCCGAGTAGAGGAAGGAGGCCTGACCATCGATCGCCTTCGAGCACGGCCGAGCTGTGCATGGCGGAGGCCGCAAGCCGTCAACAGAGGCGGAAACGATTGGTCAGCAATCAACATTACCATCCCCAATTAGAATAGAATTGAGGTGGAAAATATAAAAATTAAATTAAATTAATTATTTTTTAATTGCCACGTCACACATTTAACGGTCAACTATAAAAGTTGACTGCCACATAAGTAAGAGTTGGACGGAAAGTGACCAAACTTGAACCATTTAACTAATTTGAGTGACCAAGATTGGATTTAAATATTTCTAGTGACCAAACATAAACGTTTTTTGTAATCTCAGTGACCAACCATGTAATTAACCAAAAAAATTGTCAGTCCAATTGAATTCCTGAAAGTTATTTTTAAGCTCGATTTGAGATTGGAATTTGGGGGACCCGAGATTCCGGTGGAGCAGTAAATGAGGGCGAAGATCATCCCTCCGAAGGACTAAGCGATCCCCTGGATGCCTACGGTGGAGCATTTGGAAGGGCTCTTGACGACGTCCATGACGATGAGGACGCTGATGTAGAGGAAGAGGAAAGTGGCGATGAACTCGGCGATTTCGGCCATGTAGAAGGACCAGGAGGTGAGCTCCCCTGGCTCGAACAGAGGAGCAGGTGCGGCGGGTGCAGGCGAACAAGATCTCGGAGGATTTGTTGCTTCGGCAACGTCGCGCCGCCAGCGAGACTCTAGGGCCAGTCGAGGGAATAGATTTTGTTTTTTCAAATTTTTTATTTTCATTGCAATTATTTTTATTTTTTTGTGATAATGAGGTGGAATTTTTAAAAGATTAATTTTTATTGTTTTAATTGCCACGTCACTCACTTAACGGTCAATAGTGAGAGATGACCGCCACATCAGTCAAAGAATATAGACTAACGGAGAGTGACCACAATTGAACTGTTGAACTAATTTAAGTGACTACGAATGGAATAAAGTAATTCTAGTGGCTAACGTGAATTTTACTAGTAAGCCGTTGTATTTTGTGTTTGGTCTCTCCCCAACTCTTTTGGTTCACTTTTTCTTTTCTTAAGCCGTTGTGGAGCAAGTTTTTAGACAAAGGAAGCTCCACAATTTTCTGTATCATTTATAATTTTAACATTATTAAATTATTAATTACATTAAAATAAAACTAAATAAAAATTTATATCAATCAATATAACCAAGATTTGAACCTATGACCTATGAGCTCAAACTATCACCATTTTAAGTGTTGACTCAATAGGATAAAGTATATTTGATACTATTAATTACAACAAAACAAGTATATCAATCACCATAACTAAAATTTAATCATGCAACCTCAGAGCTCTAACAATAATCATTTAAATTGTTGAACCAATAAAATAAAATCTCTTTAATGCAATTAATCACAACAAGATTACTACTCATGTTACAAAAAAATGTACAACACATAATATTTTTTTTTTTATAATGGTGAAAATGATAATATTAAAGAAAAGTAGAAGAGTAGCAAACAGCTGCACGAGAGGTGCGAGGAACCAAAGGCAAAAGGAAAAATCAAAAGAAACAGATCAAAGCAAACTCAGGGCACTAAGCCAAACAAGAGGCTCCTGCAACCCCAAAACTAAAAGGCAACAACTAAACAAGACCAACGAGAGACATACATACCCAAACACTGCTGAACAAAAGAGAAAATGGAACCAATACCAAACACTAACACCTGTGCCCGAAATGCACGCAAGAGCCATCGAAACCCAGAAAAGGATAGCAGCAACATGAGCAACAGGGTCAAAGCTTTCTGAGATTCTCGTTCAGCCATTGAATACCGAGTCTCCTATCAACCTTCCCATGAGCGCAGATCCATTCTACAACAGCTCTGACAATCTTGCGGGTAACCACAATAGCCAAGGCACAACTACCATTGAAAATACGCTGATTACGTTCAAGCCAAGTGAACCAACAGACAGCATGACAGATACAGCACATGAACCAAGTTTCCACACTGTCGGGGTCACGATCAGGCCAATATTGAATAACCGTGCGAATGTCTCCCATAGGTTGCACCACAAGATCGCACGTCCTGCTGATCCTAGTCCAAACCTCCTGAACAAAAGGGCATTCCACGAACATATGGGAAGCAGATTCTTCATGATTTTTGCACAGTTCACAGCGATTGGCTAAAGCCAGACCTCTGTTCTTCATCTTGTCCAAGGTATTGAGCTTTCTATGAAACAGCGTCCAGATGAAAAAGCAAATCTTGGTGGAAATTATTTGGCGCCAAATCAAAGCAGCAGGGAAGTTTGATTCCCCTAGGAAGAGCTCGCCCGCCATCGACCTGTACATGGCAGACACAGAAAATCTGGTCTCCGGATTCGGAAGCCAAACAAGCCTACAAGGATCGTTAGAGATTCTCTCGGTTGCCCGAGAGTTAAGCAAAGATAAAAGATCAAATTTTTCCCTCTCCGCTCCCCCTCTCAAAGAAACATTAAAAGATAGATCCCATCCCGCTCCCTCACCTGTATTATTGAAGATGTCAGAAATCCTGGCAGCAGGGAAAGAGGCAGCAGCCGCTACGCGAGGAAAGGAGGAGGCAAGCACAGTGCCAGGGAGCCAATGATCGTGCCAAAAGGAGATGTCAAAACCAGAACCGGGGTCCAAGCAACAAAATTTCCAGAAATCGTTAGCCACTTTAGCTATATTGGCCCACACTGACTTGGAGAAGCCACCCCTGACTCGACTAGGTTGCCAAGTGGACAAATTATTAGGGTATTTAGTCTCGATGAGGCTGCGCCACCAACTATTCCTTTCGACAGCATAACGCCAGATCCATTTGGCAAGAAGAGCACGGTTGAAACAAGCAAGATCAATGATACTAAGACCTCCATTAGCCTTTGGTGCCTTACAGATATCCCATTTAACCAATGGCACTTTAGACCTATCACTCACCCCGTTCCACAAGAAATGCCTTTGAGTCTTCTCCAGCCTTTTGGCCACCAGCTTAGGAGCTTGAAGGAGGGAAAAATAATGGACAGGTTGACTTGAAAAAATGGATTTAATCAAAACCAATCTGGCCCCAAAGGAGAGATGTCTATTTTCATTTAATGGTTGACTTCTGTATATTACACAACCTAAACTATCATAGTAAAAAAAATTGTTCTATTTTTTTAGCAATGATAGAAATCATTAAAAATTATAAATAACCTATTTTTATTTTTATTTTATAAAATGTTTGATAATTTTTATAAATTTTTACAAATAATTAGAAAATCCTAAAAGCATGAATTTAGTTGGTACAATTATAAACTTTTACCTAATTTGACATGTGATTTTATTTTAAAATTGAAAAATGAAAAAGCAAAAAATAACCTTTTCTCGTATTCTAGAATACGAAGAATTTAACATTTATTTGTACGAACTACAAACTACTATAAATATGTGAACCAATACAGTTATGCTGCAATTTGATAGAAAATAACTACTATAAATATCCGAACTAATACACTCTTATCGCGATGTACTAGAAAAATAACAATTTTTTGTGTGCTTATTAAATTACTTAAAGATAATAGCATGAAGTAAAAAATGATGGTTTGCTAAGTCAAAATCATAGTCATAATAACTTATTAATGTGAATTTCCTATACTTTAAGATTAATAAAACATATCAACATAATTCAGTCATATTTTACAATTAGTAAAAGAAGTTACGAGAAAAGTAATATACATATACATATATGCATTTGTCATCTTTAGAGATTGAATTTGACGTTTCTCACATATTAAAATGATATCATTATCTTTTATTTTATACGATTTAAATTTCTTTCTCTTTTCATTTTTTGTACGCCATTACATTTTCTTCCATGCACAATTATAAAACACATTGTCGTTACTCTTTTTTCTTACATAATTATAATGTCGTTCTATTCTGTTAATATTTTTTGACATAAGTTCTTTTTTTTCCGTATGAGTGTAGATATGCAACTTTGAGTCATGTTCATATGCATAACACCTAAATTAAGCAAGATTTCTAAATGAATCTTAAGTTATTGGATATATATAATGGTGCATATGTAAATAGCACGAAAGGACTTATTGTCCCTCTCAGTGACCATGGTGGAACGTTGAGTAATCAGTTTTCCGTCACCAACCTCTCAGCCCTTACTGGCTTAACTTAACTATCAAGATACACCCGATATGTTATATCTCATTCAGTAAAATAAACATCGATTCATCACCACATGCCATATCACATTCATCATCTAAAACTCAAAGAATTCATACATTCACAAAATAAGGATCATCACCTAGTCTCTGATAACTCACTGTATGAACATGTATGCATCAAGTATCACATCATACGGTGTAACCTCACCCCAACATAGCGAAACATCACACATCTAATGGTAAATCATTGTATAAAACACCATAGAAAACCATCACATAACCATCATTAGCGACATGCACATCTCGTATGTCACATCATAGGAAGTAATCACTTAACCATTACGGCATCATACCCTGACCGATATCCTGTATAACAATTAACAGGGCGGGACGTACCTAGACCATTGTCATGTAAAACCAATGGGACCATACCATGATCGATGTCTTGTAAATTAATCTTTTGTACTTATTGCACATCAGGGCACCTTTATATTTGTATTAAGTTATCACACAATTCCAATTACAACCAGACATACATTTAATATTGGATGATAATATAAAGCAAAGACAAAGTGTCTCTATATATAACATTTTGTTTTTATAGCATTCATAAAATGTTGAAGGTAATATAGAAGCATAGCAAAATAGTTTTGTTGTACTTTAATATAATAGTAGAAAAAGCTAGCGTACACTCGAGGTGTAATATAACCTTCGTTCACACCTATTAGTTGTACTTTAATATATTTTGAAAAATAAACATCGTTGGTTAATATTTTTGTATTAAATGAATCGTACGATTTGGATTAGAGAATTAGAGACTGACATTCACCCATTAGAGACTATGGTATAGTATCATGTCCCAAACTCCGTTAATTCATGGTCTAAATAGCAAAAAACAATAGAAGTACAGTAATTTGGCGTGCGCTAGCTTAAACCATGTACAACTTATAAAGTTGAAAATTGTTGGTCAATCAATGATCAGATGGTCATGAATACTATTTTCAAACGGTGATGAAATTACAACTTTGTTTGACATTATTGTTGATTATGATTAAAATATGGATTAAATGTAGCGCCTCATATCAGATGAAACAGAGATAATAGATAACAGTAATAAATAAATAAGAAAAGTAGGAATCTGATACCATTGATAAAAATGACAGATAATAGAAGAAATGGTACAAATAAATAAAATTCGCCGCCCATCGGGCGACCACAAAACTAGTTGAGATTGATTGTGATGGATTGTCTTCCAACGCTCCCAAGAGGCGGCTTCTTCGATTGTGGCGACTCTGTGAGGGTGTTTGGATGTTTTTGTTTGATTGTTCAGTGAATATTTAAGTTCAAGTTTCATGAATAATTAAATGTTATTTAGTTATAATTTTACATGTAACTACTCATTAATTAGTGTATGGACTTTGTTACGACTAGGACAAATAAGTTTATTGGTGTCTATATAATTAAATAGTTAAACTTAAATTAATTTCAATCTGATTTTTTATGGTATCAGTATATATCAAATACTAACACTCATAATTCTCTAAATTTTAATTTAGTTTCACTCTTCCTATTTATCAATACAACTAAGCAATTCATTATTCTAAGACATTTCATAAAGAGCACAAACACAAGTCAATAAAAAATAGCATTTCTTACAATCAACTAGTAAATTACAAATTTTGGTTAAGGGGGAACCATGATCTTTATTTATTTGAGTGGGGTCGAGGATTGCTGAATTAAGAGAAGATTCACTCTATCATGGTTAAAGTTTTGGTATAGCTCGTTATCTTGGTATATATAAATTCCAATCGCATATCTCAAATATCAAATACGGATTCAACGAAAAAAAAAAATCAAATATGGCTAAAAATAATTCTCAATCACAAATCAAATAATAATAATAATAATATCTCGCTAATTAATAATACCAAATAATAATAAATTTGGTGAGTTATTTTGTGTATCCCTAAATACTTATACTAAACTTAAATCATGCAGGGCAAAAAGACACCACCAACTCCGAAACGGCAGTAGTAGCACTTTGCGGCGGTGGCACCGCCAGGTGGGTGTTCACACGGCGATGGTGGGTCTCGGCAGCGGCGATGGGGAACAAGAGGGGACAGAGTTTCGATTTAGGGTTTTGAAACTCTTTCTTGTTTTGGCGTCCGGACCCTATTATGTTTCCTGCCCACATGTTTGGGCCTTTTTTATTTGGTTTCTGATCCATTTTCATTTTTTCTGCTTGTACCTTTCCATTTGGGTTTTGACCCGGTCGCATTCTTGATGACATTTAACTTTAAAAAAAAACTCTGAAACTTCCTTAGTAGACCAGTACTAGTAGTATGGACTATGGAATCAACCAGAGAGATTATCCCACAATACTAGCAGAATACACAACGAAAAGCATCCAACCAGCAAGGTTCTCCCGGATATATGTTTCTTATCTTTTTTTCTGTCGATAGGGGCGTCACCATCTCTTAGAGCTAGAGCTCTACCTTTGAGTTGGTACAAACTTATTATCCTTGTTTGTGTGGTTTCATGGTCATCATGGTATTGTAGTATATGTTGTCATTTTATGGTAGAATCTGTCTGATATATTGTTTTCTTTCTATAGGAAAAACTGTGCCTAATAAAATTTTAGTTGCTTGTGCTGTCAGTGGTGGCCAAATAAGTTAGAGCTGTATATAGTTAATGTAAAAAGAGATATTCATATATTGTTGACATATATTGTAGATAAACATGGAATGTCCATATGGTACTTAGCATAGATTACTCAGCATGCGAACAAACTTCTTATCAGTGCCGACGATCGTTGACTCTTGATTCTAGTGCTTTCTATTAATGTGAGGAATTGTTGTTTTTGTTCTTACCCTGGGGTATCCATCATCTCCTCGAAGCTCTATCTTGAGTTAATAACACTTACTTTGATTCTTTTTATGATCACGTGGTTGTCAGGATGATGTATTATATGTTGTTATCAGATAGGAAAACTTATCGTATGTAATGTTTTATCTTTTTAAAAATAAACCGGCGCCTAATAAAGTATGAATTGCTTATGTTATCAACTAGAAGGATAAGTTTGAAGGTATGCTTAAAAGAGTCCTTTATTTGTCGTTAACTTGTATTATAAAGATTGAATGGAATGGAGTGATGCTTTTCTAGCACAAACTGATTGTTCATTTCTGATGTTATTGTACAGATTGGCTATAATGGAGTAAAAGTTAAAACGTATTGGCTAGAATACAAGTTAAGACAGCTCATTTTAAGGACGGGCAAAAGTAAGGAGCATTGCCCCATCATCTCCAGAATACTAAAAGAAATAGATATCACCATTGGAGTTGTTCTTAACATGAAACGAAACTGTTTTGGTGTTTAGGCTTGTTAGATCCTCTGTTTTAGAGCTCTATTAATGTAACACAAAACAACACTAACATGGTAGTGTTGGGGCACAGCGGAAATATGGTGAGATGGATCGAAAATAGAGGAAATTCTTTCACTCTAATATCTCACACAACTAGGCAATTGTTGCCTTTTACATTAGAGCTGCTGCTCTTGATTGTTTTACTTCTACCCTCACAAACACTACCCACATTTTCCCATAACGGATTAGGCAAGTTTGTTGCCTTAACCCTTGAGAGGAGCCTATGCTCTCTAGCTCACTCTACCTTACATGCCTCAATGAGGCTTTCTATTTATATTGCCATGACAAGGCTTTCCACCACCTATACACGTAGCAAATACATTGGTGGTAGGTTTAGTTTGTGGCTTGAGTTTATTTCTATTATTTTAGTTCCAATAATGTAGGTAGTTGGGTAGTTGAGTTTTTCTCCAATATTCTGCACATGGGACTCATATGGAGATGTCTAGAGCTTTGAGGAGAATTGTGGATTATGGATTTTTGACAGGTAGAACAATAGTAGAATACACAAACAAAAGCATCCACTCATGGATAGCTTCACACATCAAAGAGCACAATATAAAGGATCCGGTGTTAAACGACGCTTATTCATTCAAACCACAAATTCTGCTGATGATGACGAGGATGTGTCATTAGTCGGTGCAGTATTGCAAGCCGATCTTCTCCCTCGCTCCCTCCTGCTATTTTCAGCAAACTTCAAGCTAGCCTGATGCAGGCCTCTCTCCTTCTCCTGTGAGCTCCATATGTAGTAATCCTCTTCGGTGACAGACAGCGACGAAGATGAGCTGCTGCGATCGGCCGAAAACATTCCACCCCACTGCGAGAAGTTGATCAAACATAGAGGGAGAGTGCAGCACTGCTTGGAATATCTTGAACCTTTGAAGAATGCCAGCTGAGTTATCACTGCTCTCACGTTCCCTCCTCCTCCCGTCATGCCCGAGATTAACCCTAACGACCTAGAGTAGTTAGTAAAATACAATGTAGTGCCTACCTGACACTAACTAATGTCTCCTTCAAACTAGTGAATGGCGTAGTGCTATATGTCACTGTCCCGACCTGAACGGTGATTGGACGAGTATTAGCCGACTCGCAGTAGCGTGGGGCGGGGCATGGGTATCTACTTCCGACCCGCCCTGTCCCACCCCGCTCCGTTCTTGGCCCATTTTATCTCATTTTCTTACGGTATTTATACATATTTCTTCTATTTTGACTTTTCTTCAACTAGTTAAAGTCGATCTTTCAACTTGTTAAACTCAACTGCCCATTTTGTTATCACTATTATTCATTCATAAAGTGTTTTCATCGTTTTATCATAAAAAATAAAATTCACGTGTTTTTTTTTTTCAAATAACATGTAAGGGTAGGTCGATCCGACTCACTCCGACCCACAGAAACGTGGGGCAGGGCATGGTTATTGAGGTACCCACCCTGCCCCATTGCATCACTACTTCAAACTGAGCTAGACATGGTCTGAGCTCATCCAATCGCCATAGGACAAGAACTTGTATGCCCTCTTCCACCCGCAACCCTATGTTCCCAACTGGTAGAGAAAGATAACTTCATCAAATATGGCCTTAACACAGAGTAATTCAAACCACCAAGTATATATGTAGAGACCCGAGTCTAAAGCTGTGCGGGGAAGTAAGAAAGAAAGAGCCGGCGGGTTGACCCGCAAGTAGGACTATGAATGCTTTGGTGGGAGTGTGATTTATTATTTTCTTTCTGGGCAAGAATCTTTTGAAGGAATTCTTTGTATCAATTTTTGCCAACTCCGCTTCTTCTGCATGTTGCCTCTATGCTGCCAACACTCCATTGCTTAACCATTATCATCAAGAACAGTTATCAGAGAATGGAGTTTATTCATCTCACAGTTTGAATGCCCAGAGTAATCTAGCACACATGGAAAACAGGAAGATATAGCAGGCAGACTCAACTGCGTTTGTGTGACTGCTAAAAGAAACGAAAGATCTAAAGCTTCATTTTGGAACTTTGCAACAGAAGTCATCCTCAGTTAATACACCAAAGGAATTAAGTTATATACACTGTCCTTGGTTGCAAACCTCCACACAAACAGAAAGCAGGAGAAAGTATTTGAAGTTCGCAACTGGGCAGCAAATCAAGATTTTCGTAAGATGGTGACTTTCCGCAGGACATTAGTCCACCTTTGAATGATGCAAATGTCTCCTTGTTTCAGCGAGTTTCCCTCTGCAAATCCATGCCAGCCATCAATGAACTATGAAGTATACATACTTGTCCTTCGTGTACCTCTAGTCCTCTACCTAGTGCCACTGGCCAAGTTTTATCCGCAACCTGAAGCTTCACCGACTTCTCGTCTTTCCCAATGTGCCTACCTGAAAATCCTAATGCAAAAATTCAAAAGGTCATGGATAGTTCATGTTATTGGTGTATTCAAGAGTTCAGAAAACAAACACAGACCTAGAGTAGCCATTCTCATCACACTACTACCCGACAATTCCCATATTCTAGCTGAAAAAAGTTCAGTCGAGGATACAACGCACCAATTGCTTCCTTGACAAACTAGTCGAAGTGATCCGGCAGTCAAAATATGTGTGGATCATCTTATCTCCAGCACCCTCTCCCTCTTTGATTCCCAACTCCACCGAATTGCCTACATTGTGTGATGACACACAAAGGAAGAATTCACAACCCAACTACAGCAGCAAGAACATATTTTAATGTCAAGACATCTGAAGGAAGTGGGAAAAACACTTACTCCCAAGTCCCAACCTCTTCTGCAGATGACAGATTCCCTTCTGCACTTTCCTTAAGGCATCTCTCCATCCTCACTTTCCCATTTCAAGTTGACGGCGCCTCATCATCTTTTTCTTCTTCTAGTTACCGTGAGACTGTAAAACCTCCATTGTGAACTATCCCTTGCTTCTTTGGGGCGCATCGACTTCATCAAGACATCTTCAATCACTACAACTATCGGCTCAACGAAAATTTTCTCAATTTCACCGGCATGCTGCTGGTTACTAGGAATTCTAGAAATCGTGTACACGATCTCTGTCGCGGTTATATCACATATAACTACATAGAACTAGAAGCTGGAGCATCCCTTGTAGTCGGAAACCAGGAAATGCTCATATTTCAAAGAGTGAAATTCTGCAAAATCTTGCCATCCATTCCTAAAACCAGACCCCGATTTCATCCCTCACCAGACCCACCGTCCAGGTCAGCCCACTTAGGACCTTTAGAATCGCAGAGTTCGACAAACCCTACCCGCGATTTTCAACGAACACTGAAGGAATCAACTGCGAAATTCTCCAGAAATCTCCAGCCGCGATTTGGTCCCCTGAATTCTCCAGCCGCCGGAAATTCCCATCGGGCAAGTCCTGGCCGAGGATCAAGACCGCGAAGGCCGTCAGCATCTGGAACAAACCAGGGACGTAGAAAGCAATCCTCCAGGCGGTGAATTTTGCTGCCCCAGTGGAGCGGCGGATTAGGGTTTCGGCGAAGGGCATGACGAGCTGGGTGGCTCCGCCACCGAGGTTCCCTCACCCGGCGGAGAACCCGGTGAAGAACCTGACGAGGATGAACGAAACAGTGGAGGAAACCATGGGAGTGAAGAACACCGCCGGAACGGTGATTAGGACGAGGGAAGCGGAGGCGAGCCGGGGGCCCACCATGTCGCAGGCGGTACCCATCACGATGCGAGCGACGACGGCGCCGGTGACGGAGGCGATGCCGGCGATCCCGATTTCGGTGGCGGTGAGGTTGAGATTGTCCCGGATGATTGGGAGTAAAGGAGGAGCGGCGAAAGTGGAGACGAAGCAGGCGAAGAAGGAGACCCAGGAGAGATGATTGGGGCGCCGCGAAATTGAAGAGTGGGAATTTCGTGGCCTTGTGCTCTGTGTCTACCGGGAGGGAGAATTTGGGAGGCGGCTTTCCATGGTTTCGGTTTCCATTTCCATGGGTTGTTGCTGCAGAATTGGGTTCCATTTCCATGGCTGCTGCTGTGGAAGGAATTGGGTTTTCCATGTTTCAATGGATGGTGGGTTTGCTCTGTTATATATTCAAAGGCCTGAATCACAGCGAAGTATTGGAGGTATCTGCATCTCTTAGAGTTAGAGCTCTAGTTTTGAGTTAGTACAAATTGTTTGTGTGCTTTTATCATCGTCATGGTGTTGTAATGTTGTAGTATATGTTTGCATATGATAATAGAACTTGTCTTGCGTACTGTTTGTTTTTTCTTAAAAGGGATATCGATGCTTGATAGAAGCTTGCGATTCTTGTGTTGTCACTGGCGGCCATATAAGTTCAAACCTATATACAATTTTGCTAACAAGAGACATTGGTTTAATGTTCACATATGTTTTAGATAAATATTAGTACACTCACTATGATTGTCTACACGCTCTTACAGTTGTCATGGTGTAGACGTGTAGTCATCTGATAGCATAACTCGTCTGATGTACTATTGTCTTTCTTTAAAAACAAAAGCGCCGCCTAATAAAAGCATGAGTTGCTTATGTTGTTATTGGCGGCGAAGAGATAAATTTTGAACCATATATATGCATATGCTTTAAGGAATCGTTAATTTAATGCCCACGTGTGTTGTAGATAATACTTGAATCACCATATGCAATTTTTCTAAAACAAATGGCTCCATCAAATGGAGTCAAACCTGATTTGAACTCGTTCAATGGGTCAAGCAACTCATATTCTTACTAGCGGTACTGATTAGAAGTATGTTCGCATGTTATGTAATGTGATCTTAGAAAGCAAACCAATCGAAATAAAACTTAACTTGAGCACAAGATTATACCGCAACAAGACCAGCAACTTGTAGGCCTATGTGTCCCAACTGGTAGTGAAAGAGCAGTTCATCAAATACGCCCTTAACATAGAGTAATCCGAACCTGTCTCGGGGTTTGACGGGGTCCGACATGCACATGGAAGTTTGGAACTCGAAGCTGTGCGAGCAAGACTATAATATGAGTATGAGTGCTTTGGTGGCAGAGGTTTCATGTTTCGTCATTACCATGGTCAAATTGCAGTTGGGAAGAAGGAAAAACACATTTGTCATTTCACTTTGTTTCATTTCACACCCACCAGTAAGTGAAGTTACTGCCCCTTGTTGAAAGGGCACCAATCCTCAATCAGGTGACCTTAGGTTAATGGATATTACCCCATACCCAAACACCGTCTCTTAGAGTTAGAGCTCTAGCTTTGAGTCCGTGCAAACTTATTATGATTGTTTGTGTGCTTTCATAGTCGTCATGGTATTGTAGTATATGTTGTCATCTGATAGCAGAATTTATCTGATGTATTGTTTTCTTTCTGTAAGAAGTAAAACGACGCCTGATAAAAGCAAGAGTTGTTTGAGCTGTCAATGACGATCGGATAAGTTAGAGCCGTATATAGTTATCCCAAAAAAGATATTAATTTAATGTTTCAGTAGATAAACATTGAATGACCGGATGGTACTTAGCACAAATAACTCAGCATGCGAACATACTTCTAATCAGTGCCGACCATTGTTGACTCTTGATTCTAGTGCTCTCTATCAATGTGAGGAACTGTTTCTTCTATTCTTACCCGGAGATATCCATCATCTCCTCGAAGCTCTATTTTGACTTAGTAACACTTACTATGATTGTTACTCTGCCCTCGTAATTGTCATGATGTTGTCATATGATGTCAGAACTTGTCGGATGCAATCTTTTCTTTCTTAGAAATAAACTAGTGTCTAATAAAGTTTGAGTTGCTTATGCTATCAACTAAATGGATAAACTTGAAGGTGTGCTTGAAAGAGCCTTCTATTTGGTGTTAACTTGTATTGTCTTGAAGATAAATATTCTGCACAAACTAATTTTTCATTTATGGTGAAATTGCCATTAATGGAAGGACATAATGATGAAATTGCTCTTGGAAAGAAGTAAAAGCTCATTTCACTTTGCTGTGCCAAAGTGACAGATGTGATGTTGGTAAAACAAGAGGGTTGTGTCTTTGTGCTTGTGGTACTTCTCGCACACCACGCTGCAAAACGTGGACTGCACGTCGGTCGCGTTGCATTTGCCCTCGTAGAATCCGAACTGGAGTTGGGCCTGTGCTCGATCTGCTGGCAGGCCCAATAGAACCACCATGAGGCCCAATTTAACCAGCCCGACTTGACATTAATTACCCGCTGACCACCTTGAGCTTGAAGCTAATGTGCCAGATAAGTTCAAACCTACATACAGTTATGCTAAAAAGATATATTGATTGGATGTTCAGATGATGTTGTAGATAAGCATTGAATAATCTGATGATATTTGGTGCTGCGAACGCACTTCTAGTAAGTGCCAACGATCTTTAACTCGTGGTTCTAGTGCTTTTTGTCAATGTAAGAAATTGCAGTTTTGTTTTTATTTTGGCTAGATATATCATCATCTCCCGTGAGCTCTAGTTTTGAGTTACTATACTTGCTATGATTGTTAGCACGTTTTCATGGTTGTCATGGTGTTTTCATCTCATAGCAGAACTCGTCTGATGTATTGTTTTCTCTCTTTAGAAACAAAAACGGCGCCTAATAAAAGCATGAGTTGCTTATCTTATCGATCATAGTTAGTAAATACTCCGTTTAATACACGTATATGTACCCGTACGTACTTTATCCGTTTAAAACTTCCGTATCCGTATTATTGTCAAGCCGTTTCATTTTCCCCCGTTCATTTCATGGTTCCCGTACTAAACACGTATAAAACCCGTATAACACGTTTATTATCCGTATTTTACGAATTAAATTGTTAACTTTACTATTATTTATATATTTATTTATTTTTAAAATGATTAATTTTATATATTTATGACTATTAACGTACTATTAAACGTAATTTTAACTTAAAGATGAAGTATAATGCCCGTACGTATCTTTTACGTAACTTTCCCGTACCGTATTTTACTAACTATGTTATCGATAGTAGCGTAGAGATACGTTTGAATCGTATATCTATATATGCTTTAAAAATGTCATTAATTCAATGTTCACATCTTGCAAATAAAAGATTGAGTGACCGGGTTGTCACTTATGTCTCCTTCAAACAATTCTAGACATGGTCAACTCATCCAATCGCCATAGGACAATAACTTGTATGCCCTCTTCCACCCTCAACCCTGTGTTTCCCAACTGGGAGAGAGTGAGAAGTTCATCAAATATGGCCTTAACACGGAGTAATTCAAACCACCAAGTAATATATGTACACGATTGTGGTGATAGATTATTGGAAAAGTCACTGTTAGTACTAGTAGTAGGACCTCGCCATGACCAAGAATACAGTACAAACTCCATTTGGTGGGCTCGTTTTTTGTTTGGTTTGGGGCCTGTTGGCGGTACTTTGGGTGGGGGCTCATTTCTTTTTGTTTTGTTTTCTCTGGTAGGATGTGTAGCTTGGAGGTTTTGTTTTAGGTGGACTCGTTTATGACGTTTGTTTGGGCGGGAATTCTATGGTGCCGCAACTGTACGGTGCCGTCATATTTAGAGGTGTCAATCGGCGGGTTCGGGCTGGGTTCATTCGGGTTATGAGTTGGTCGGGTTGCTGATCGATCTAGTTGCGGGTTCATCGTGTTCGGGTTGATGGGGTTGCGGGTGACTTGAATTACGAGTCAATCGGGTTGCGGGTCAATCGGGTTGTGGGCCAATCGGGTTACGGGTCAATCGGGTGCGGGTCAATCGGGTTGCGTGTCGGGCGGTTCGGGTTGCAGATTTTACGGACCAGCACATCGCGTTACTTTTTAGTGATTACTATTAAGTCTTAAATCGTAACTACATGAAGCTAGCACAATACTTGTAAAAAAAAAAAGGAATCACTACGCAAAGTCAAAGACTCAAAGGTGGGGGAAACAAAATTTTGGGGAAACATTACACGGGGGTATTATTGGCGGGTCTCGGCGGGTGGGGGGAATCCAATTTTTTTTATGGGAAAGGGGGAATCAAATTTTTGGGCAGTAGTATTGGGGGAACCCAAAATTTGGAGAGAAAAGTTTAAAAATAGTATTTTAATTTTTTAAAAACAAGTGAAATTGTTATATAAATGTATAGAGAAATTGTTGGTTTAGCTAGTTAATTGTTTATATGATTTTCGTATTAAACTAAATTATAAAATTTAAAAAAATTGTTGTGAGTTCAATTGTAACTTTACTCGATAACATATAATCTAAACTCTAAATAGTCTATACCCTGAACCCCAAATGATTTTATGTGCACTATTAGTTTGATGATGTATCTAAATTAATATTTGATGATATTATATGCGTTAATAGGTTGATGATCAGACTTTAATGAACTAGGATTTCAAATATCAACTTTTGGTTTATCTTCATCGAATTCCTTCTATTATAGTCGGGCTGTGGGTTGGTCGGGTTACGGGTTCGGGTTAGTCGGGTTGCGGGTGGTCGGGTTTGCGGGTTGGTCGGATTGCAAGTTGGTCGGGTTGCGGGCAAATCGGGTTGCGGGTCATTGACTTTTAGTCAAATCGTGTTGCGGGCGGGTTGCGAGTCGGGTTGATCGGACGGATTACTCTGGTTGGGTTACATTTTGACAGCTCTAGTCATATTCTTCTGTCCGGTTGAGATGATTGGGTTTGGGTGGGTCTGGTATATAGTTATTTAATTAATAAAGCATAAATAAAAAAAGGTAAAAAAGAAAAGAACGGCAGCCTAGCTACGGGTTCCATTCTTCTCCCCTCCTTTTCTCGGTCCTTCCACCTTTTTTTTTATAGAAATAACTCGATTTCATTGAAATCAAATTCCAGTCTCTAAGGCAATAACATCACCAATTTGGCCAGGAACACTGTCATGCCATATCCTGTCACTAAGAACATTAAAAGGAAAGAAATGTACCAGTAGATGA